AAACACAGGGGCAAAGGTCAAACGAGTTAACCGGGGAGCTACGGAGAAGTGGCAACCTGCTGCGGAGGTGCAGTGAAACTCATCCATCAGTTCCACCCTTTAATCTCGAGGCAGATTTGCCCCAGATGTCCTTATGAATCACCTTGGCTCATAATCAGCAGCCTTCACACTGATAACACACAGAGATCCAGACAGAGCTGGCAGCGATCTGTCTGGGAGGCCGTTTGAATGACCCATGTTAACACCACACTCATGGCTCATACAGTCTGCCCTCCGCTGTGTGTGTGTGGGCGGATGTTACTCATCTTGTGAGGACCCAAGGCTGGTTAAAGTCACTTTATAGGGACTTGTCTTCCTTTTTAGGTCCAAAAGCACCGCCTGATAATGTAAATCATTAAATGTTTTAAGGTTAGTTTCAGGGTTAGGGGAAGGCATGTAGTAGTTGTTATGGTTAAGGTTACAGTCAGGCTCCAGGAAAAGATTGTAAATAAATGCAGCACAAAGGAAAGTCATTTTCTTGAATTTTTTTACATAATCATTAACTTTTTATTTGCCTAACAAACCAGATTAAATAAGAGAAACGGTCAGACATTTTTGGAATACTCCAGATGCAAAGATTGAAAGTTGATGGTTAATTTAGTGTGAAGACTGGAAAAAGGGAAGAACAGCTAGAACTTCAATTTTTGTCACAAATTAAATACATATCCTCTTAATTATTGGATTTTTAAGGAGACACTTTGTCCTGTTTACAGTCTTTATGCTGAGCTACCATCTCTTGGTTGTAGCATCACATTTACGATATAGACAATCAAGTGGCATCTTCTAATCTCACTATCAATTGGAAAATTAGTGTTATTTTTAAATGATCTCAAGGTGATCATAATACATTTTGGCTGAGGGTACTAGTGAGAAAATACATTTTAAAATCTGAAATGTCCTAAAAAGTGACACTGAAGCTACTTCACTCTCCAGTAATAATGCTTTACGACACATACAAGGTTTTCGTCCAACCAAATCCTCCATCGTCTGGTTTCGCTGATGGATTCTTTCTCACTCTCTGGTTAAAACGTGTTAATCTGTGAAATCAGACGCTGTTTCCTTCGGTTGGAATGAAAAGCCTCCAGATTCTTGGCCCTGTGCGGCTGGCATTGAGGAGCGCTGTGGTAATTTACCCATTTGGGTCATGCAGGCAGCAGTGTGCGAGCTGTTAAGCGATCTGGCAGCGTAGGGCAGATGATTCACCGTTCACAGGGCAGAACAACTCAGCACTTTGCCTGCTGGGGGGAGTTTGCAGGCTTGTCATCATCAAACGGGATGGGTTTGCATTGCCCCCTGTTGGAACTGTATGTTAAAGTCATGATCAGAACAATAATCTGATCTCGGTTAACATGCATAGAGACTTTTAAGAGCAAAGCAAGTAGTGCAAAAAAATATGTAGATGAAATAAATATAATTCATCCATCCATCCATCCGTTATCTATACACCGCTTAATCCTCACTAGGGTCGGGGGGGCTGGAGTCTATCCCTGGAGAGAACCCATGCTGCACGGGGAGAACATGCAAACTCCAAAAATATAATTCAATCCTGTTATTTTTGTCCAACTCTGAGGTTTAAGATGCAAATTGTCTGGAAGGAGGTAACATCAGAGGCAGTTTTCAGTTTATCCATACACACTTAAAGGAGTTGCTTGACATTTGGAAATATACTTATTAGACGTCTTGCTGAGAGTTAGATGAAAACATTTATACTCAACAGCTAATCTAAAAGGTTAAAAAAAATCCGCCAAACAGCACCTCTGATTACCTTTTTGTTCTAATTAAGTTTTTGCCATTGATGGGAGAAGTATTTTTGATCTTTTACATAAGTAAAAGAAGCAAAAATAAAGTGTAAAAACACTTTGTAAAGTAAAAGTCTATGTTATATTTTCATATACAAAGTAGTAGTATTCATTATGCAGAATAGCATATGTCAGCATCATTAATACTGTTTTACTGTATTGAAATTATTTGTTCATTAATGTTTGCATCAGTTTAATGTTGAAGCTGGAGATAATTTTAACTTCATTCAAATGGAAATGCGAATCTACAATAATACAGCACAATTTGTTTGTTGATTTGTGTTTTATATTTGTAATCTGAATCTGAAAAAAGTAACTAAAGCTTTGAAATGAATGCAGTGGAGGAAAAAGTAGAACTTAAAGTATTTCCAAAATATCGTGGAATAGAAGTAAAAATTAGCATTAAATGGACACACTTGAGTAAATAAACTTAATAACATTGTACCACTTCTTGTTGTTTAATCTGCACAACAAAACAAGTGTTTAAAATAAGATTCTGTGGTTTTAAAGCAGGATTATTCTCCAATGTTGTGTGTCTGCAGTGGGGGAGGCTGCCGTTTCATGACTGCAGCCAGCACATCCCCCACAAAACCACATCTTTTCAGTTTTTTACAGATGTTGAGGTGCTGATATGAATTGCTGCTTCATCCTGTTTCCAGTCCTTATTTTAGGTTAAGTGTCTCTTATAGGCAGATGTGAAAGTGGAAAATAAATGATAGGTGAAGAGAGGACAAACTATTGAGACAAACCAATTCTTCCTGATTCATGTGCTGGTATCTGTGTGCTCCTCAGGTCTGGAGTCTGGTTTCGTCACTCTGCCTCGTCTCTCTCGCTCCGAGCGTCAGCAGCCGTCCATTTCCCTCCCCATTTCCTGCTCCGCCAACATTCACCGCGGCTCCCTGACCGACCCCTCCGACGCCATCTTATCCACCTGCTCCTCCTCGATGGTGACTTCTGCCCCCAAACACACCACCACCACCGCCGCCGCCTACTCCGACTCCCTCCCTTCCCTCACCTCCCTGGACACCTTCACCTTCGACCTCGGGCCCTCCCTCATGAGCGAGGTGTTCGGCCTGATCGACGGCCACCAGGAGGAGCACGTCCACGCCTGGGAGGGAGAAGAGGTGGGGTCAGCGTGCGGGATGACCAACGAGGGGTCGGAGATGGACTCGGCCACTATCTCGTACGTGGATTCCTTGCTGAGGGAGGACTGCGGGGGCAGAAAGAGTCCACATGGGGCTGAATGGGAAGACGAGGAGGGGATGGAGGTGAATGGGCTTTCCGTTAAAGTACCCGACGTAGTGATGGGGTCTCCCGAAAGAGCGATGGTGGGGGTGAGGATGGAGAGCGAGCGGTTCCAGAGCGCTACAGATGTGCTCGCCCGCCATTACGGTGTCAGGGACCGAGGAGGATGGAGCAGGATGGAGACCGGAGATTCAGACATGATGAAGAAGAAGATGTCCTACAGCTACATGGACGACGAGGATGAAATCAAAGTCTGAGCTGAGCAAATCCAAGATGTCTTCATCCGATGTATGATTCCTCTGTAATTCCAATCAAATTAATCATCTAGAATCTTTTTAAGGTCGACCAAGAAAACTACAAATCCATTTGTCCTTTTTCCTGGATTCTTTCTTCTATGCAATCAAGGATGTACAGTTTTGACGCAAACCTGCTGCTGAATGTATCTAAAAGGAGTGGAAGACTGTGTGTTTCCTGCTTCACGATGGATAACCGCTTCTTTTTCAAAGAAAAAAACTGAAGCAAACAGGAGGCGTGGAAAGTGAGAACGTACCAGAGAATGTAGCCGAGACGGTCGCAAAGGAAACGCCAAAGTGGAAGTTACAAAGCCTGTCATTCCCTTTATGCTTCACACACTTCCTCATGCACGAAGGGAAAAGATTCTCAGAGCAAGTCCACATCACTAATGAGAGAGGAAGTCGGGGTTAGAAAAATGTATTTAATCCTACGTCCACATTTCGGCTTCACAACAATCTCTTGTCAACTTTTCACTCAGGAATATAAAACCAGGGGAGGAAAAAAAAGGGAAGAGAATGAATGAATGAGAGATCAGGAATCTCAGAATCTGTGAAGCAACAGATGAACCAGAGAAACACAGACATTGCAGGTATTACACTACATGGACTGAGGGAATATAATATTGGTATTTGCTAGATGCAACTAAAGCCTGAACCGTATACTTGTTCATTTTATGCTGCGGACCTTCTATATAGATACCTTGTGCACCTTTTTTTGTGATTATGAAGTCCGACCCCTGTATTGCTTTTTATAGAAGAATTGTCATTTATATGTTCTTTTATACATGAAGATATCAACGGACCTCCTATAAATATGTACTTACAGTATGAGCACCTGCAGTACATAGTGCAATTCACATCCATATGCTGCAGTCAGTACCAGTGATATACTACGATGATATAAAAGATGACAATAAAGATGTTTTTAATTAGCTGTGCATTCATTTACATTGTTGTCTAGATTGAACATACGAGACTGGATTAAAGGGAAATTTCACCTGAAATCCTTGAACGTTAACCCAAAATATTTCATCCAAAGTCCTCGAATTTAGATCTAGAAGGTTGTTTTAAAGGGATTTACCACCCATGACCTTCAAATGTGGAGCAAAGGTGTTGGTTTCGAGGGTTATTTCACCTAAAATCTTTGAATATAGACCTTACAGGCTGGTTTAAAGGACTATTCCAACTGAAATACTCAAATGCAGACTTAGAACATTGTTTTAAAGACATTATCCATCTAAAATCATCAGATATATTCCCAAAATATACATTTCAAGGAATATTTTGCCTTAAAAATTCAATTTTAAAAGGTTGGTTTAAAGAAACATTCCACTCAAAATCCTCAACCGTAGACCTAAGATTTTGGTTCAAAGGAATATACTACCCCAAAATCCTTGAAAGTAATATTTCTTTCAAAACCCTTAAACATTGACTTTGTATTTTGAGTCACTGTCACATTCAGTCCACTGTGAGAAACTAATTTTCTCTTGAGTGTTATTTAACAAGTGAGAAGTCAAACTTCAGATTGGTTTTTAAGATTTATATAACAGTTTAGTCATACTTGAGTGACTAAGTTTTATTATTTTGTAGATTTCTGGAAAATTACACCCTCAAACAGAAAAAGTGTTTTGCATGTTAATGAATTTATTGATTGTCTACAATTTGTTTCACGATAAAGATATGGAAAACACAGGATGTCAGAATAAATAAAAGATGCTGGTTACAGAACCATAGGAAAACCCCAAAAAACTCAATAAGCTGTAAAACTTGGGCTCAAATACCGAGCAGCGCGTACCGAATAATGCAAAAGGTGTTTTAGCTGCTCTTGAGTTGGGATTAAACATATCTGAGGAACATTTTCTTTTTCTCACTGCGCTATAGAAGGAACCTCTTTGGCCTGTGATGGTGGAGGAAGTGGCGGAGGGCAGTTTGGCGCCCTGAGTCCAGGTTTTTTCGGCGGAGGCTTTTTCAAGGTGGCCGGTTGAGATCGGGGCGCGGGCGTCGGCATCGGCGTCGGCTGGGGCCTGGTGTCTGAAACCTCAGGGGCCGGGGACGGGGCCGGGGCTGGGGCCGGGGCTGGGGGTGGAGGGGCCAGGCTCTTGGGAGGTGGTGGGGCTTTCGGTTTGATGTAATGAACTGTCGGAGGCTCGTTAATATCGTTGGATTTGCTCGGGTTGAAGGTTCTCTTTGCTGCATGGGGGAAGAAAGAAAGACAGCAGGAAAAAATAAGAGCGAAATCAAGTTAAGCACGTGTACCTCTGGTATTGAAAATGCAAATGTTAAATTACTGAATTATGACATACTTTTGGTCAAAGCAGCAATGTGTAACTTTTAGTGAATGAAATTAACAAGTAAAACACATTATTACTCAAGTTAACACACTCTGGGACTTTAGTGCTTTCGCTTGCTTGGACTGACTTTTAGCTTTTGATGGAAAGCGTTCGGTAATGTTTCAAAAATGCTTCTGTGCAAGCGTACATAGTTAGCTGACTCTCCGACTCTTCTTTTACATTTTTGGATTCCATTATTTTAGCTTGCTTACCCTCTAGATGTCACGTGTGGCATAAGTTGCTGTTTTGCAAAAGTTAAATATTGACAAGTGACAAACTGAAGGAAAAAACAGAATCCTTGACCTCTACAGTCGATCTTTTGGCTCTGTTATGTTGTTGACATGGTTTGGGTCCACTTTGTGCAATTGATCACTGCAAATCAATACAAGTAGTTCTGAGTGATCGCTTAAATCCTGTGATGAAACATCCTGATGGGAGCATCCAGGACGACAATGCCTCCATCCAGAGGACACAAGGGTTCATTGAATGGTTTGATGAGGATAAAAAAGCTGTGAATCATGTTATGTGGCCTTTGCAGTGACCTGATTTCAACGTAATTGAACATCTATGGGAGATTCTGGACTGACATGTTAGATAGCGCTCTCCACCACCATCACTAAAACAATAAGAGTTCCAGAGACTTAGAGAGTCAATGCCAAGAAGCATTGAAACTGTTGTTGTGGTATGTGGTGACGCAACACCTTACTGAAACAATTGAAAACATGATGTTTTTCCTATTTAAATTAAACTTAAAATTAAGGATGCACGATATATCGATGAACACCTCGGTATCAGCTGATATTAGTTTTTTTTCCATTATATCGATATCAGTCCGATGAACAAATTTAGCCAATGTAAAAATCTGATGATTGTCCAACATTAGTGCCTTTGTCTGTACATTTGATATTGCTGCTATTTCACAGATGTTTTTACTTAAATGGTCCTGGACTTAAACGTTAAATGTGTTTAAATATGTTTTACTTTTGTTACATAATGAAGACGATGTGATCTAATCTGGTATGGGCTTTTTCTGAATAGTTTCCATGTTCTCACAGTGCTTACTTATACTCGTTTTTCTGTGTGAACAAAAATTGAATATTGATATCAATAATATCGGTTATCGGCGATATCAGAAATACTAATATCGGCTATCAGTATTGGCCAGAAATTACAATATCGTGCATCACTACTCAAAATACCAAATTGGAAATTAAATCAATGAAAACAGTTCATAACCCACTTGCAATGACAATGCAGATGCAATATTTGGTACCAGTATTTCCATTCATGACAAAATGTTTATCTTTCCTCTTGTCAGATGAAGGTATTTACAAGGAACTACGGTGGATCAACTGCTCTATGTGTTTTCAGGAGGGATATGGAATTTCCTTCCTCAGATTATCATCAGTGTTTAGACTGCCTCTATACTACATTCAAAAGTCAAACAGGTCTGACATTTGTCTGACTGTGTGTTATTTTGAATACAAATCCTGGGAGACCAACAGTGATCAAATGTAAAGAGTTGTTCAGTACTGGTGGAGCTTTATGGTCTACCTTTGTACTTACGTTACAGGACACCTCAGTGGGTTGTGATGGTTAAATGAGTAAAAGCTGCTGCTCACACAGTGTCATGTAAAGTTAAACAAAGAAATAGTCTTGAGTTTGTAAGCTGACAAACATATCAGGACGAGAGGACTTATAAGGAAAAGTATTTCAGCCGCTACCCTCCAGTGAAGCAGTTACAACAGTGTGAGAGATGACGCAGGAAGCCAGAGATTGATATTTTGGTCAGTGGTCTGACACTTCCTGTTTCCTGTGTACATCCTGGTTGTTACAACAAAACTGGTAGATTTATTTTTTTCTCTGTCAGCTCACCCTAACAAGCCACCGCGCTGACTTCTGTGAGAGGAAAAGGGCAGAAGTAAAGAATCTGCACAGGACATTACACAATAGACAAGAGATATGTAAGTAAGGAGACACGCCTGAACCCTGAGCCCAAAAACAACAGTGGACGAAGGGGCTTCTGTTTCTGAAGGAAAAATGCATTTTGGGTCACTTAAAGGGGCATGCCACCAATTTTACACCGAGTTCAGTTTCCTTATCACAAGAAACCCAAACTCAAGCTGTGAAAACTGTCTTCAGAAGCACTGACAGGAGACAAAATAACCCTGATCATGAGTGTGGTCTCCGGTTGAGGGTAAAACTTCAAACTTTTGAGAAAAAAGCTGTGAAGTTTGAAAATGCAGCATTATGGGAAATGTTGGATGTAGTGTTTCGCCAATACAGGGAGTCTTCTGAGTATGTCAAACTAATGAAAGTACAATACTATAATGGTGGAGAGTCAGTCTGTGCTTATTTAAAATGTCTTTTTTTAAAGATTTTGCTGTTCGCACGTTGTTCGTTGAGCTAAAAATGTTGTCGGTTTCATATACTCTATTCCCAGCTGGACCTCTTTAAGTGCAGCTTTGACTTACGTTTATACGGTGAACTGATCTTCACCAATGCTCGAGGAGAGTCCGGCGGTGCTTCCAAAATCGGCTCCAGCTGGCCCTGATCCGAGCACTGCTTCTGGGTGGGACTCTTCATCTGGCCTGAGTTTGTCGCTGATCCTCCTGCTCTAGGAGGAGGGGACGGCTTCTGGTTTGCTGTCGAGCTGCACTCGGTGGAAGCACTGGAGGCCTGAGCAGGGAGGGAGGATGAGCTGCCGGATTCTGCGTTTGGGTGGGTCGGTGCTGCTGGCTCGGCTGCAGGGCTGGCCCATGTAGTGGTACCACTGCGACTACTCACAGAGCCGGACTTTACCAGGAAGAAGCCAACACTGTCCTGAGAGGCTGTGCTGTTAGGCAGAAACAGACAAAGGTCACGTGGAGGCAATGGTGCATAAACATGCAGCTTTAATCCAGCAAGTGTGTCAGTGTTGTTCTGTTGGTGCAATGATAATTTGAGGAAGGTTGTGATTTTGTACTTGTAAAGGAGCACCTGTTTGTCTTGGAGAGAGGGAGGTGGTAAGAGGAGCAGGAGGAGGCTGTGGATGAAGCTGAGGAAACTGTTCTTTTCAGTTTCTCCTTTTCTAAGAACAGACTCTGGGTACCAGGAGCAGGCAGAGGGACGTCCAGGACCTCGGGTAAGTCTGGGACCTCAAAGGGAATATCTGACCGAAACAAAATACACAAACAACAAGTTTAGGAGAGCTTATTCAGACAACGTTTTGTTTAATCAAAGAATTAAAGGTAATTACACATTGGCTCTTATTTCTGTAGTTTTCATTGCACTTGTCTTGTTTATCGCTGAGATATAAGAATGCAGTGGCACTACAAATACAAAACTTAACTGGGCACCTAAACCCACACGTAGACTTAATCTATTTAGAGAAATAGAATTGTAGCCCAAACTGGGGTAAACATTCACCACAGGTTCAGCAGCTTCCTCTACCGTGGGTGCAGCAGCAGCCACAAGGTTTTTTCCTTTTCAGATTAGATTGTACGTTCTAATGACATTTCCCTGAATTAGAAAACAATGTTTACAATTTCTACAGTTTTGGTCTAACATATAAAAGAAGAAGAAATGAAGAGTTCATTTGGAAAAACTGATAACTCCATCGTCACAAACCTTCAGAAAACCCACTTTTCCATCGTCTACCTGAGACAATATCAGTCAAAGTTACGTTATCTCAAGTTTTGTCATTTCTACTGAGTCAAATACACTCAATTTCAGTTTGATTGATATAATCTCAAGCAAACAACCAAAAAATAGGTTTTCTGAAAATATACAAAAATGAAGTTGTCTGTTTTTGCAAATGAACTCTTCAAATATGTAGGTCATATCAAAATCATATACAAAAAAACCTTATTAAATTCACAGTGCGATAGCTCACAGTTGTTGTTGTAACACAACTTGCTGTCTAAAAAGCACGTTTTCCAGTTGTGCAGTGTTTAGCAGTTAGCATCTGGTCTGAATTAAAATATTGGGGTTCCTTATTAACGTCTGTGGACCCTCATGAGGCCCGAGGGCTCCAGGTTCACTGACGGTTTGGTGGTTTGATTATCACTGTTGGGAATTTGTTCAACATTACAGCACGGTAATATAGAAACTAGCAGGGCATTTAGGTGGCAAATGCATTAACGCAAATAATAATGCATTATTTTAGCATAAATGGTGCTTATTTTGCACATATACCAAAATAAATTTGTGCTTACTCAAGGTCCCACAAAACTGATTACTGATAACTAATGATTACATACACAAGGCACTGAGAGCAGGGAGGGGAAAGTTTGCCTGCAGGCCATGAAAAAGGTCAAAACGGCCCTGTTATTAGAACCTGTCCAACAATTGTCACAAATCTTCACCACTAAAAATGATAAAATACCAAAAACCACACAAATAAACCAGAATAACCCTTTAACTTGTCCCACTAAGGGTGGTGGGTGCATCAGTGTTTGCATACCTTCTGGGAAGAGACTGGAGCTGTACTGAATTAGAGGCTCAATGACCATCACCACCTGGACTGAAGAGGCTGCCGCCATGTCAAACAGAGCAGCTTCTCTAAAAAGGCACAGAGGACACATCAGACTACAGACACTCACGATGATACAAAGGACAGATGAGGAGCGAATGTAGAATAACAGAAAACACAAGATAAGGACAGAAAGCAAAGCTGTTCATTACACACCCTTCAGCTTGTGGCCAGAGCAGGTTTGGTCCCAGGACGATGGCAATGTTACTGGGTGTCATCTTGTTTACAGCCTGGTGCTCAGACAACAAAGACAAGAACTGGACCAGGTACCTGGCAGGGAAAAGGAGGAAAACAAAGTGGAGTAGGTGAGGAGAGGACAGAGAGGAAACCAGAGAGGATGACACTTTTGATTTGAGAGGGCTGTCTTCCAGTGGCATATTGGATTGTTCCCAATATCTGATATGTCAACATTTCCCAAATATTTTGGACAGTACGTGAAAGTGATATACTAGTGTGCACATCTTTTTATCCTAGAGAACATCAAGTTTCTCCTGCAGTGGAATCAACATTTTATGCCTGCCTGTACACATTCACTGGGCAAAATAAGAAAACTGTTTAAACCTACTTTTAAAATATGCCATATTTATTTCTATGTAACCAATTAAAAAAAACTATTTAACTTTTAACCTGACAGTGTTCATTTTGGGACAATGCCAAAATAAAATTCTAAAGGTAAAATGGTGATGCTCATATCATTGTGCACTAATGGATAAAAACATTCACTTGATTATAAATTGATGATGTCAGATGAGAACTTAACCCTTTATGGGGCAAGTGACCATATTTGGTAACTTCCTTGGACGTTCAACATGTCCACCCTGTGCCTCTCCTTGAGGTTGCAGAACCACGTGCACTTAGATAAGTTTTTATATTAGTGCCAATATCACTACCAAAAATGTCACTAAACAAACGTTCCAGGCACTTTATAAATGCTTTTGTTACTGGTTTGTATTGAACTCCACTTTGATTTATTTTTGAGGTTAGTGCCACTAATACCACCACCCCGAGAACAATGTTACGACATGAACTGTCCAAGCACTTTATAAATACTTTGTTACTGGTTGTGTAAGTAGCACTACCTCAAACTAAAATGTTTTTGCAGTTTGTTACTTTTTCTTTTATTTATTATGAATTCCCTTCTTTTTTAACTGTAGACGGGCAAGTTACCATATACAGTAACCTTATTAATCTTGAATTACAACATTTTTTTTTTCAAGTCACAAAAGTAAAAATATCTTGAAACATCCTTCAATAACACCCTAGGGTTGAAATTTTCCTTCTCCAAGTATTTCAATGAGTGCCCTATAAAGGGTTAAAATGTGATGATTTTCAGGGTTTAGCAAGTTTCAAAAGGCCCACCATGACAGTGAAGGTATAATGCTACCAAATGCAAATGTGCTTATAATAGTGCGTAGTAAAATGCTGGTGTTTAGCAAATATAATATTTATGCATTCACCATCTAAGTTCAGTGTGGTGGCTACAGAGCTGCTAACATTTCCTCGTTGCAGTTGCACCAAAAAAGTTCACTAAAAACCACAAATGTCAAGCTAATTGTGGCGCTACAGGAAAAGCAAAGCATTCACCCGAGTCAGAAAGTTTCATTCTGTGTGCCCCATGCATGTGTGGACAACACTGTTAAAATTCAGTTCTAGGTAAATCCTGAAATGCTGACCGTATGTCAGACTCACCGACCTACTGATCCAAACACAAAGAGACATGCGATCATGTGACTACACACCTGAGGTTGTTGTAGTTTTCAGGAGGCAGTTTCTTCAGCAACAACCTGAACTGTTCCAGCCTCTCTGACAGGTCTTTTTCCCTGAGATGAAAGAGATCAAACTCAAAAACAGAGCACAGTATGATGAGAAATGTAGAAATGTGTAGATATTATACACACCCAGCTGCTTTAAACCAGTCATTGTAGAGTTCAAAGGTCATTAGAGGTTCAGGAAGTTCTCGTAGGTAACACTTCAAAGCTCCTGTCAACAAATCAAAGGCAGATCTTCATGATCACAGTTCTGCAATAAAAATCCCAGGTGATGTGTTCATTTACTGCCCCTTTTTTGTAGTGTTAATAACCCATATTAACATCATGTGAAGAAAAATATCCTACTGTTTTCTCAAATGTTTTGATAAAAACAGTGATTTTTGCAATATCCTGCATGTGAAAGCTTTTATACTTCTGTCGTAAAAAATTCCCTAGTGCACAGGAAATGGTGTATTTCACATTACTGGAAACTGCAGCAGACCGTGTGTTTGGAGTAAACAGAAGAGGAACTGGGTAGTTACAACGAGCTGTGAAAGTCACCATAGCTGCACAGACGAGGAGAAGCTCAGCCTGATAGAAAGTCAGACTCCACCGAGGGGAAGTTTAAGGTGAAAGAAGAGGACACATCTTTACCTGCTACAGCGTGAGGATCCATGCTGAACTCGCTGTGGTCCACCGTCCCTTGATCCAGACAGGTCTTTAGCCTCTTCACCACCGAAGCTGCTGCAGCCAGACGAAACAGACCCTGAGGAGACAAATGAAAACATAAAGGAGGAACAAGTGATTAAGTGGAAGAGATTTTGTTTGTTTGAAGTCCAGACTAAAACCAGGTGTGATGGGTTTTAGTCGTGGCCACATGCAAACAAAGTCAAGAACCGCAGCGAGCAGTGAGTGTAAATAACCCCAAGCAGGCCATTAACATTCCGTTCCTCATTATATAACAAATGTTCCAAGAAAAAATGATTAAAGAATATTTCTTAAACTCAATCTTCTACTATGTCTTTGTACGTTGCAAGCGCCTACAGAAGCCAAGCTCTGCCTGCATGACCTGAAGGATGACAAGGTCAGTCAGTTCAATACACTGGTCCAGACTGAAACCACTAACAGGCCTGACCTTTGTGTTTAACAAAGCTAACACACCAAACTGAATAGCGATCGATATTGTAAATGTAAGCATGTTTGTATGTTGGGATTCAGTTCACAGTCCAGCCTCAAAGAGCAGCTGACATCTCTTCAGATTCACATTAAACATGTAAACATTTCATGGTAATAACGTTTAAAACATTTTATAAGCATGAACCCACTGAGCACAAAACCTAATTTCAACAAAGCAGCTATGTATCTTAGCTCTTATTTAGCCTTGAATATCTCCAGCTTAACACAGGCCACGTTCAGTCTAACAGAATCAGAATCAGAATCAGATTTATTGCCAGGTATAGTTCACACAATACGAGGAATTTGTTCTGGTGGGTTGGTGCAACAAAACAACAGTCGGTGGGGGTCCTGTGTCTTGTTCATTGGGTCGGTGGCAAATGGAAAGAAACTGTTTTTGTGGCGTGAGGTTCTGGTCCTGATGGACCGAAGCCTCCTGCCAGAGGAGAGTGTTTGAAAGAGTTTATGACTAGGGTGGGAGGGGTTGGCCACAATCTTACCAGTTCACACAAGTTCACTGCTTTAATGTATAATTTACACAAAACGACAACAACTGAATAACATACACTGTGTTAAAAGTATCTGAACTGCCAGTTCTCAGTGATGCACCAATACCAAGGCCAGATATAAGACAGTTTATACCCAAACATTTGTGTCAACAGAACAAATATAAAGTCCACACTGATTATATAACATAATACCACAACATAAAAAGGCGTAAACAGAATATGTCCAGCTACCTATAACACACGTTTAAACCAATTAATCAGTTAGTTAAGCAATCATTTAATTAATTAACATTTTAACAAGTATTTCATATTTGTATATTGTTGTCTTTGAAAACAAAACATATGTACTACAGTGTGTAGATGTGATGTCAGCATGGACAACTTTCTTTGTTACATTTATATAAAGCTATATACACAAACAACTGTATTACCTAACACACACAACTGACGTCCATAGATTGGGCTGAATTTGCAATTTGTTTGCCATCTCTTGATCATTCAACACCCACTTATTTAACGTTTTTCTATTAATTTAAATCAATATGTTAATTATATTCCTGCCTCATCGTGTGACAGATGCCAAGCTTATTCATACAGGTCCCTGGACTGTCACAGCATCTTACAATCATCCTTTTGCTATTCGAATATAATCAATACGTCTTTGGTGAGCATTTGGTGCAGACATGAAGGCAGGTTTGGTTCCTGGTCAGGGACACTGTTTGTCTTGTTGCTCCCCGTTGCAAGCATTTGATTACTTAAAGTAAATTATATAGATGTTTAAATGACATCACTTTAACATATAAACAGGTCCAGGAATGTAGCCTAGCACACTATTTACCTTTTAGATGCCTCATAAATTGAAAATTGCTCCAATGGAAGGGATAATTACCTAAATGTGTTTATATATAGATGTTTAAGCACCATATACAATAGGTTCAGCCACTCTTTGGGGGAAGGAAAAAAAAAAATCCAGTATCTATAAAATGTTTAAAGTCATCAACATCAGGGAGTGTCCGTGAGCCCTGCAGCCCTACCTCCTCCCTCATGCCCGTTCTCAGCAGCATGTGAATACACTCCTGGATGGGTGCAGCGATTTCTTTCTCACTTTGAGACAGATGCGAGAGCAAAGGCTCCCCGTAGACCTTCTGGTTAGAGACGCTTAACGCCGGCCCTGCAGGATCAGATAAGTCCACAGAGGAAATAAGAGCACATGTAGACATCCCATAAACACACAGAGCAGCAGCAGCAAACTAAGTTCACCTTTTTGACTGTGATTCTCTTTGAGCTCGCTGATGTTTTTGTCCAGGAAATCGTGTGAATTTTTGTGGTATTCTGCTTGCAGCTCGAGAAGCTATGTTTGGAGAAAAAAAACAGAGAGATGATGGATATAAAGAGCAGCCTGTGGTTAGACTACAGCTTGGTGTGTGCTTTCTGCGGCATGGGCAATGACATGTTGTTTGCACACATTTGAAAAGATCACGTCACCGTCATAAATGCAACTCACGCGGATGAAGTAGTTAGCATAGTCATCTTCCTTAGTCGCAAAGTGGTACAGATCTGCAGAGTACTGGTCCTGCAGAGACAGAAAAACGGAGATGACACCACTGATTCCACCGAGGCAGCAGAGGTTCAGTGCTTTGCCCAATGACATCAGAGCAACCCGGGCGGTAGTAAAACACTGGTACCTTGATGTTCTCCAACTTCCTCCAGGCTTCTTCTACATCCTCTCTGAGTCCGTCCTGCTTTGCCTGGGGACCAGTGCTGGCCTGACTCCTGAACACACACACACACACACACACACACACACATATATATATATATATATAAAACTGTGGCATGTGGTTGAATTGCAAAACATGCTTTCCTGACTGTGTAACCCACCTCATTCTTGCATTGTTCCAGTCTGTTCTGAGCTTTGCAAACTGTTTCTTGTTCCTAAGGATCTCTGGTAAATCATCCTAGCGGGTAAAAGGTAAAAATAATTTACTTGAAAGGCTAATTCACTTGTACATTGTTGTCTATGCATTTATTTGTGCAACACAAAGGTGCAAAAATGAACAACAATACATCTAACTAGCACATATGATGGAAGAGGGGAAAAAAGCCTCGACAATACAGTTGAATCTGAAGCATAAGTGCAATAAATAGCATCAGAAAGCGTCGTTCTATTTTGTCCACCACTTGGATGTGAATTTGTGTAGACATTAGTGTGTTCATATTGAGAGCAGATAACAAACAACACAAAAAATTAGTAGTAAGGTCACGGTGTTATACGAGCTTCCGTTCACCTCGCTGAGCTTGTTGAGCGGCTCCAGGACTTCCTTCTCCACTTTCATCTCAAAGTCTGCCAGCATGTGGGCCAGCATCTTCTCCATGAAACAGCACATCTCCAGAACCCTCCTGTCACACACACACAACTTACAGTAAACACCTGTCTCATGTTTGTTTTTTTGGATGAAAGTCAGACTTTAAAACTATAAAGCCACGTTTATATTAAGACAAAGAGGAAAGAAACCAATAAATGCAGACACAAGAGGATTCTACACATTGTAGAGTTTGCGAAAAGAACGAAATATTCTGATCAACACATCTGAAACGACACATCATTATTTAGAGCAAATAGCATGATGCTGACTGGAACTAATCTAATTTAGTCTATTAAGAGCCCGAAACTATAAATAAAACACATGCAAAGAGCTCTAGTCACAAGTTGTGAACAGCATCCTCTTTTTTTTTCATCGAGAACTGAAAACCTGAAAGCCTTCACACTAGAGTCATGAGGTTTTCACATGACAACCGTTAGTCAAGAGTACGAGTAAAGAGCATGGATGGATGGATGGATGGATGGGTCAAACCTGTCACCTGATTGCGGACTCTGCATCAAAGTCTTTGAGACTTTCTGCCATGCTGACAGACAGCAGCATCAGAGGAAGCTTTTTCTGCAGAGACAGAAGCAGGTGTGACGCTGTTAGTGATCAATAAAGCATTTTCAGACATCCTGTGACTGCACTAGTGTCTCTACCATTCGTCTTTCAGCCTCCAGCCCTGGCTGACTTTGCATGCAGCTCTGTAGCTTCTTATAGAGGACCTGAGCTGCCTTTCTGGCTGGTTCCACCCGCTGATCCACCTTCATTCAGCCAGAAACACACACACACAGAGTGAAGCTTAGAGTTGAGAAACATGCATCTGTTTAATGTTTCTAAGTTATGTCTGCAAATAGCGTGTACAACAAGCAACTGTATTGTGGTGAAAAGCAGTATTAAATATAACGTGTGCTATAAATGATGCATAGTAACAGTTGATGAGACGGAAAACAACGTCGGAACGTTTGCATTAAAGTGAGTAACAAATTAAAGTCTTACAACTAAAGCTATGTAACTAATTCTATTCTATTTATGTTATCTATAGTCGTATAAAACTAAGAGTAAGAGTAGAGGAGAAAAATAATATTTCACTTCTTTTTCTCACCATAACCAGGTCCTCATGTAGAAGTTCAGTGGCATCTTGTGACCTGCAGACGAGTGAATTTTTTTCTGTTAGTGAACCTACATGTAAACAAGACTTATGTCAAACAGAAAATGCATCAACAGCAAAAATTCTGCTCATTATTGTTCTATTGTAATTAGACATGGTGTGATACACTGATGTTAAAAATATTAATGTAATATTTCAAAAATAAAGACTGATATTGTGTTAATAATACACAGACGTAATAACTCTACTGTCTGGTCGACACTCTAACAAAGGAACAAGAAGTACAGATATAGTACAGACTTACTCTCTACCTAGTTATGCTCTTATTTTGAGTGCAATGTGTTTACCACAAAAGAGACAAAACACACAACGTACAAAATCTACTAGCAGCATTATCTTTTTAATCAATTTTGCATATATATCACAATATCGTGAATTCTTTAGGTGACAACGATCATATAGTAAAAAATCTGAAATTGTAGGATTTTATGCTCTTATTTACATCATTTTTTTGTGGGGGAATTTGCCACCTAATGCTATGATATCGTACCAGCTTTTTTTCCACTGTTGTGATTTCTGTGCTGTTTGTTTGTCTACCAGATTAATGCACAAATCACCGAACTTGGAGAAGAGGTGGAGCATAGATTACATAAAATTCTGTTGCAGATGTGGATCACGGGGAAGTGGCTTTGCTGCACGACTGCACTCTTCAAATGCTCTTCTAGTTCTGTTTAACTATTTCCTGACAAACTATAGAATGAATTATCATTTGGCAAATTAAAACATACAGGTTATTTCAAAAGCAAACGCGCTTGTTAACTGCAGTACTACCCAAATCTGTACACCATCTGTCAAGGTTTTTAAATGGTGACAGAAGGGACATATTGACTTCAAATTAGTATATGTACACAGTTTGTAAAGAACACAGTTGTGGTCTTACTTAGTATTGTAGGGAGTTTTTTTTAACTGTGGGGGGAAGGTGTTGAGGTTAATGATAACATCTACACACAATTGTCACTGACTCACTAAATATATCAGGTTGCCGTTCCTTTCCCAGCGATGTCCTCGCCCTCCGCTGTCTGTGTGTTTCAAAATCCCCTTCACTACGGCACACAACAACCGAGGAGCGACATACTAATGCTAATACTAATGTTAGGCAGATATAATACTTGTCATATTGACCATCATATTTAGTCATGACCTCAAAGTACAGCTACAGCTGATAGGAATGTTTGTGGCGCCATAAGAAAACTAAAGGGATCACCAGAGTGAAAGATTCCTCCTCATAGGATCATGAATTTTCACAGTGGTCCATCCCATAGTGGTCTTGATGGTTTAGTATGACAGGAGGCAAGGTAGCTCCTGTGTAGGGTCACTTTAAAAGGAAACCAGATCTTCCACAATTCACAGGTTTTATATTTTGAGTCAAAAGTACTGTGCAGCATTTTCGTGCTGGTGGTGCAGTTTGAGTTGGAAGATTTTACACAATGAAGTCAAAAAGCATTGCACTGCTATGCTATTCTAGTTATAAAAACAAAATCTCCAATGAGAACAGCTCCCTCCTACCTGAACTCTCATTTAGATCTACAGTCCCTCCCGCTCACTACGCTCGACCAACAAAAGGCGTCTGATACAACCACCACAACAGGGTCAGAGGTCGATAACTCGACTCTTCTCCTCTGTGGTTCCACGGTGGTGGAACGAGTTACCGAACTCTGTTCAATCTGCTGATTCCCTCTCAGTCTTTAAGAAAAGACTAAAGACCAGCTCTTCAATGAACACCTTTGCACTTGATAGACTGAAAACAAACAAAAAAAGTCCTACTACCTCCCACACAGTCTGCTATTGGCATCAACGCCCTATCACATTTGAATTTGTTCTATGGCGCTTATCCAGATTGTTTTCTCCTGACTAGATCCTTGCTTGTGTTGTATCCGCTCTCAGATGTAAGTTGCTTTAAAAAAAAACCCACGTCTGTGAAATTAAATTGTACAATTGTAAAAATTCACCTTTAAGGACAGTTAATAATCACAGAAGTTGAATTCAAATTTAAAGACAGACCTTGTCTTCAACATGACTACATGTAGGCGTGATAAAAGTAAAGGACATTTTCAGCCTGACTAAAAAGCAACACGGAGACGACAACCTAAACCTGAGTGTAACGGCTGTGGTTTGGTTCGACACCAGGAGGGGAAGACCGAAACACCGACACCTTCCCCCATCTTTGCTGTGACATTGAACCGTTCAGCCAGGAGGGAAGCAGATCAACAGAGAAGTGACAACAAACTTCTCAGCAGCTTTGAGAGCATCTCCGAGGTGCTGTTACACCAAAAGGAAACCCAGCCCAGTTCACAAAGGGGTTAGATAAGCTTCAGCACCTCCCAGGTGTAGTTTTGTTTTTTTAATTATTTCCTCTGGTGACGTTTCAAAACACAGAGGAGAAATTTCCAACATGTTTGAACCACGAGCCAGTTCCTCTTTTATCTGTAGCAGAACAAATATTTGAGACCAGTGGAAGCGTGTTTTAGCACATATGGAGGTGTGTATGTCTAGATCAGTGTAATGTGTGCACGCGTTTATCCCTGCAAAGGTCGCAGCTTCAATACAAAAGGTGAAAGGCTGCTGTGGCATTTGGAGCCCACGTTGCTCTGCTGCAGATGCACGCTATGTAGGTTTATTATTAAATCCAAGTGCGTCAAAGGTAGCAGCAGCTTGGCCCTTAACCACACTCCTTTCACCCTGCAGCATGCAGGTTTGCACCAAGAAAACCGAAACAGGGTGTATGATTAGATCACCCACTCAATGTCAGTCACTCCTGTTCAGCACTAAATGCTTTACACATAGTGACACCTAACTCATTGGGTGAGCACAGGCTGCAGTTTTTATACTATTGACGGCTATGGATCACTAAATATTTTTAAAAATGCATTTTTAAAAAAAGTAGTTTTAAAACTTTGCTTCTACCAAGAGATTTCACAACACCATGAGGATCACCAACCTCCTGGTATCACAGTGTGTGCTGCCAGCGTACACCACGAACTGGTGTCAGTTTGTCCATTTAGATGTGCCAAAGGGCTCTAACTTTCCCACTTAGAAGAGCCTGAGGTTTCCCTCAGAACCCAAACAGCACTTTAAAGAGGAACCATCAACGGTATCAAAGAAGCTCTACATCGCAACAGCGAAAACGAGAACATGGAAAACCAAAGCAGAATTTAACATTTCCTTAAAGCAGAATATCACACTGAAATGAAAAGCTTGGCAGTGCAGCGATGCACACGAGTTCTCAAAGAGTCTGTGAGAGTCCATAAAGGCTGTAAGGAAAATAGAAAGTCCTTAAGGAAAACTTTGAGATGTAGATTCACAAGGTATCTTTATATATTATAGGAGAAGAGGTAATGATGAAAGCAAATGTTGCACAAGTAGACTCAAATGCAGTTTCTATTTCACAGCAGTACTTTTGATAAAATCATCCTCCGCAAACTTCAGCTCAGATCAAACCAACAAAGGTTTGCGTAGCTGACATGTAGCGATGGTCATCAATGTGGTTGCTGATAACAACTGTGATATGTGTAAGTCACGAAACACGTCTTCCATCAAAATAACCACACAAGACTTCCAAAGCCTTTGAATTTATTGTCAATATGAGACTTGGCTGAGTGTATAAAACAGTTCCAATGCAACATATTATACAAAAATCAAAGGACAGGCTTACTTTGACGTAGAGCTGAGCTGCTTCAGGATGCTCAAAGACTGCCGGAGCATGCTGGCAGTGGAGTCCAACCAGCTTCTCTACCTGACCTTCTCAGTCCTGTTCGGCCGCCCCACGAGGTAACCAATGAAAAATTTAAATAAAATAAAAAATAAAAAACCCTCCACAGAGGCTCCAGCTACTTCATCAGGAGGAGAAGGTGGAGTTCTCTGCCTCTGTGGTTGTTGTTTTTTGTGTGTCTACGTGTGCGTGTTGTGGCAGTCAGTTTTCGTTCTTGTTTCACCAGTGTGCTCTAAAGTCACATCCAACACAAGTCAGCGAATGAGGAAGTTGCACAGATGAAATTTCAGCTGTTAGAAGGAAGAGAGATTTTTTTTTTCAGGTTTGACTGTCACACTATGATTTGACAGTTAGACACCACTGACAGACGTATTCACGGAGAAGGACCGGTGGAGTCATGCAGTTTGATGGCAAAACATTTCACTTCTGTTTTCCTCTGTAAAAATAAGCAAAACCACATGCAATACCTTTTTCAGATCGACATGTCATAAAAGCTCGCAAACATAGGCTGCTTGTAATTACAGCGACGCTCACCCTTTAAAAACATTCTCCCGTTAGGCTGTGGTTAGTATGTACTTCTGTAATTGCCAACAGTGTGTGCTTAACAGTTACAAGGATGTGAAATGGCCAAAAGAGGAAACTCTCAGTGCTGTTGCTGGTGAGTTTTTCCTGTCAGCCTGAAGACCCCCTCCAGTCAAAAAAAAAAAAAAAAAGAAAAGTTTTTACCCTTGTTATCATGTTTTAATGTGCTAGAAAACTAATTATGAGGGAAACAAGCAGCCGATGAGTTCGTTGAAACTGCAGTGTAACGTTTCATACGTAACAAACCTGTCAGCTTCAAGGGTTTCTAGAGGTTTCTGTATCGTTAGTCTACTTCAGAATCAGTTCCCGGTTCAGAATTGTACGGCTGAATCACTCGAGTATTGTAAGATGGCATTGTGTACCTTTACAGAGTTTGAACAGAGATGTAGGTGAGCTGGTGTGCTCGAGGCAGCGGAGCGGTTGGTGGAGAGAGAGACGCAGGTACTATGTAGATCTGCTCATTCTAGAGGAAGCAACAGTGTAGACTTACAGTCATCCTCACATTTATTCATACCCTTCCATTGTAGAAAAGGCAAAATTCACAATAGTCACTCAATTAACTAGAAGCTGAAAAAAGTAATAATGAATACAAATTTGCTAAATTATAATTTAGTGAAATAAGACATTGCTTTTGAATTGTGGTTGAAAAGAATAATTTTGCAAAACAAACAAAACTGTCCCAGACAAATTAGAGCACTTTGCTGATGAGCAGTGGGCCAAAATCCAAATACCTGTCAACAGGTGCAGAAGTCTGACTGAGAGTTACAGAAAACACTTGATAGCAGTGATTGTCTCAAAGGGTTGTTCAACAAAATATTAGTTTATGGGTCCTATCATGCTTGTTTGCTTGCTTTCTTTTATGTTTTTTTTAAATATTTCTGTTGAACCACGATTCAAAAGCAATGTCATGTTTTCATAATTTTTAAAAATGTATTACTTTTGTCAATTTCAACTTATTACAGTGACTGTTGTTTTTTTCCCCTTCTTCAATGGGAGGGTATGAATACATTGTAGGACGACTGTACATCGGAGTCATTTTGAGGCAGGAAGAGAGTATTTTTATGGCACAAAAACTATCAACGTGTAACCTGAGTCTGTAACCATCAGGCACGGACCTGTGGAGGCGTCTGGCACTCCTGCAGGTTGGGCGTCTGTGGATCAGGTTCGTTACAGTTATGCTTGACCAGATTATGATGTTGGGAGTAGGGCACAATGACCTGCTGCTGTGGGGGAGGGTTGTGCTACATCTGCAACAATGCTTAGGTGCCAAAGTAACATCCATATGAATGCAAGAACCCAAAGTCTCCCAACCAAACATTGCATTGCAACAAGATGATCAGTGTCATTCACTTCACCCACAACAGGTTTTAATCAACCAATAAACACCTTGTAGAATTCAATAGAAACCTACAATAATCCCCCTCATTAAGAGACTACTAAATGTGTTTCACTTTCATAAGTGGGAAGGTTTGATGCTGCATTTGTTTTTGCAGATATCACTGTTTAACTATAAGGTTTCTGTGTATGTTGTCAGAGAAGCTTACCTAGCAACCTGAGTGACAGACACTTTATTATAGCTTCAGCTCAGCAAGATTTTAGCTTTAACTGTGCTGCTTGAGTCAGTCCTGTCAATTTAAATGACACAGATCATCTTGCAAAAAGCATTGCATTTTCAGTTTAAGTCTATATAAAGTCCCACTTTGGATTGCAGCAAAATGATATCTAACCTCTATTTCGCTGAGCTGCTGAACACTCCTCTGACGAGAGCTGCAGGTGGAGGTCCTACTAACCCTGATGCCTGACAGATGCTGCAGTCTAGTGGTGGAAGTAGCAAAATGCACATAACTGAGAGAAGGACACACTGCATGTGTATAAATGAAGACTCAAATCTTTCTTACCAGATTACAAACTACATTTCTGCAGCATTGTTATGTTTACATGCTCAAAGTTTCAGCGACAAAAGATGCTTAGAAGATAAACTACAAATCCCAGCTGCACTTTGTGAGTAACTGAGCAAAAACACGAACAATTCAAACACAACACGGCAACTTATTTACTGATGACTTTATTTTTTAAAACTGAATTCAAATACATGATGGAAAATTTAGCTACATGTTTTATACTTTGTGGATCCAACAGTTTGTTCAGTGAACTGCTTCTATTTTATAGGGAATACTGTTTTCCTGATCAAGGCAATTCCAAATCCACCATATACTGAGTTACTACTTTATTATGTACACATGTGAAGCCTTCTCCCTTCCTTTTTTTTCTTTTGTCAAATTTATATTGTTTGGCTCTTGTTTGCACTGTGAGCGAGGAGTTGAGCGATAATTTAGAGACTGTTGTTAGTGTTGCTGATGCATAGCGGCGTCTTACTGTGGATTCTAAGTGTACCTAATAAACTAACCCTGCGTAAGTTCATTGAAGCACAATAATCACAGGAGAAAGACAGTGAGTTGGTCTTGTGCAAACTTTAAAAAAAAGGCAACAGAAGACACAATCTCTCCCAGAGAACTACAGAAGATCTCGTCGGAAACAGGGCAAGAGCACAGTTAGTGAGGCGGTTCCAGACTGCACTTCCCCGCACTGATGTTCAACAACCTAAGAACGTTTATTTTAGGCAATTCAAGTACTATTTCTGATGCTTCGAGCAAAAGATTACAAGACACATCTTGAAACACGTTTGAACTGACAACTGGTTTTGCTCAGATTGTGGGGGGAGAAAGAGGAAGATCATATACATCATATTTGCCCAACTGTTGATGGAACTGATAGCTGTGGTGCCGCATGCCATTTTAAACTCAGAAGAAATTAGTCAGTATTTCCTATACATAGTTTATGGTTTGAATAATTGTCTTTGCCTTCTTACAAAACAGATGAGAGTAAAAAAGCACCAAAGAAATCATGCATGCTCACTGTATTAACTGTCCAGTAAACTTCTAGTAGGTAATCTTGTAAAATGTAGAAATCAAAAGGAATGGAAATAATTTTAGCAGCTTTAGAACTAAAACCCTGGTGGGTGGGAAGAATAAAGAGGCTGTGAAGCACTTGGAAAACCTGCGATTGTCTCCTCTTGAACCTTCAAGAAATTTTAAAGAAGATCAGAGGCATCCCAAATGTTGCATTCCTCTTCATCTTGCTTTGCTCCACCCGTTTTCCCTGTCCTGACCACACTGCCGTGGAAGATCCACACCCCCTGATTTGAAAAAAGGGACAGGAGTTCAGGAGCAGTCCTGAATTTGACACCACTCATGTTGGTCCCCTCCCCGTTCTCCTCCAGATCTCCTTCTCCCTCCATCCCTCTGAGACTGAAGTGGATGTTGAAGCTTTGGGCTGGACGACTAGCGCTTTGCTTTGGCTTCTTCCGCTTCTTTTTCTGCTTTGAAAAAAATAAATAACACAGAAAGGTGTAAAGCTGTGAGTTTCAAAATAGTAAAATTATCCATAAAATTCCACCAAACACCATGAGTCATTACCAAGTAGAGCAGCAAATGCATGATGCCAATAACACATCCTGACTCAATGTTCTCGCCTTCTTCTATTAACCTACTGAACCCCACAACTTACCCATGTTATTGTCGTGATACTTGATCACTTTCAAAATCATTTTATTATGTATCAATTTAAAAAAACAAAATAAATCACAAAAACCATTTACTTTAACCAGAGTCTGCAAAAAACGATGTGCTCCTCTGCAAAAATGTGAAGTCATTCGTGACTCAACTGTGACCAAAAGCCACCTGAGAAAATTTTAGGGACTTTTTTTGCTGAACCGTGATTAAGTGCAGGCTGTGCATACACAGAGCAGAAAGGAGACGAGTATGGAAACAAATATATATAATTATAAAACAGTACAATAAATATCTAAGCAGTGAAACATCTATACTATGTCAAATCAACATTTCTTCCCAGTATTGGTAACATCTGTGGGAATTTGGAAAAATGTTGTACACTTTCATTCATGTTTTTTTTTTTTCAGTATTTGTAAAAGTAAATAAATAAGAAAAGATATTCAACTTAGATTTTTTTTTTTTTTAGCTCTCTATTCTACTAGCTATAGTTTGTCGTTTCCATAGAGATTCAGAATTTCATACTGCAGTGAAAAATGAGCCCAGAGTGAGTCACAATGTGACAGGAGCTAAAAACATTTAGAAGCTGGTTGGTGTTCAGAGAGTAAAACGTGTACTTTCTACCCTTACTTGTCAGTGCACAGTATGTATACAGTATGTATCAGTACATATACAAACAAATCAGAACCATCGAATCCTGAAGCTAAACAGAGTACGCTGAATCATGTTATGGTTGAAAATTTTTCTGTTAGAGCTCCACGCAGTGGTGACTCAAAGTGCCACTATGACAGTACATTACGTGCCATGTACTGCATTAAAGACAATCGGATGAAACAGAAAGTGATATCTGCTGTTGTGTGTCCTAATGTGTCCTTTTATCTACAACAAAGATTAAAATTCAAATTGGCCATGTGATGCACATCTACAAAAGGTTCATTGCTGTGTTTTCTTACCTTTCCTGAGTTCATCTCTCTTCTTGGCAGCTTCCTCCCTCTGTTTCTTGATGATGGCCAATCTAGCCAGGTCAGCTCTGGCCTGCTCAGTTTTACCCTCAAGATGGAGCTTCATGTAGCGTTCCTTTGATTTCTGCTTCTCTATCTCCTCTCTGACAGACACAAAAGGCAAAGTAATATTTAGTTCTCCCCAGAATAAATATAAAATAATGATAAACTGGTGATAAAGACACTATATTTTCAGAAGTTAAAAATTAACACAAATACAAACACTCCTCTCCTACGTGACACCCACCTCTCTCTGCGAGACAGCTCTCTGGGAGCACTGACGTCTACTTCAGCCACCTTCTTGCTCTTCTGAGAGACACGGTTGGGATTCTCAATTTCTATAAGCCCCTCCACTCCACTCCTCTTCCTGGACTAATCACAGAAAAACACTGCTGTAAGACAAAGTCCCAGCACAGCGCTTGCAGCTACAAGTAGCCATCTATTTGCTACTGTGACTGTTGTAATCAAGTGTTATTTATATGTAATTTTACATGTTACACATTATGCTATTTGTTGTATGTCCTTATTTATTTCATCTGACAACTGCCCAAATGTTAATAACATTACATCACTATATTTAATAATACTGCTACAATGAAGACCAAAGATTATTAAATTTTAGCATGGCAAGACATTAAAAGTAAATATCAGCAGTGGTGCAGTCAAAAAGCAAGAGTTTCTTTCTAAGGCTCTTATTTGCAAAAACAGTTCATAAAGAGAATAATACATCAAAGAGGCAGAAATCTCAATCTCTCATCAACAGTGATGCCAGAATGCATCTCTGCATGTCGATCACAAGAAACATCTAAAATTTAAAAAAGCTTTTTTAAAATCTTTTAAAAATTTAACAACTGATCTTAGGACAGGAGAAAACCAGGGAAATACGACATCACTTATATACACTGAGGCGACCTCACTCACGTCAGACTCCTCTTCGCTGCTGCTCTCCTCCTCTGACTCTGAAGAGCCTTCTTTCTCTGCACCAGCACTTTCCTCCTGTTAAATACACATGAAAATCACACTTCTACACTTCATTTAAAGGTAACTGCATTTATTGGATCACAAAGGTCTTTTCCTCACCAGCTCTCTCTGGGCTTTCATCTGTCGATCAATCTCCTCAGGGTTGCTGAACTGCTTCCCTCGGCCTTTGTGGCCCTTCTTTCCTGCAACACAATTGTCAAAGTTGTCACTCGCAAATAAACTGTATTTAGCCTTACAGGGAGGTTGTTTTTTTTCCCTTTTCTGTTTACAAGCAAGCTGCAAAGTTTACACTACATGCAGAGGTCGCACAAGAGAGACAACAAGTGTCCACTATCAAATGACTCAATACAACAGAGCTTGAGTAAACACGGCCTGGATAGCGTTTTATGGCAATACTGACGAGACTGGGCGATACACTGGTGGTTTCTCACATTAAGTTTGGAGGACTACATTTAAGATGTCAGTCTGCGGTGTGAACAGGGCAGATTGTGTGTGGTGAGTCACACTGACGTTTACTGAGGGCCAGCTCCCCTTCACCGGCAAATGTCACGGCCAGCCAGTGTCATAAGCAAAAACAACCTCAAACTTAGCAAGGGAAACCTTTGATTACGATTATATGAATGTAACTGTTGATACAAACACCCTCCATTTGTCAGGAGTTGATTAAAGTGATAATAAATATGTTAAAGGGAGCCGGCGCGGTCTCCTGTGCACATGGCTTTAGCGGCAGAACACAAATAACCAAAATATGATAATTCAGTTTTATAAACTGAGATTGGAAGCCGTTTCATGTAAAGAAATTAATAAATGGCCATTAGTCAGTCTCTGGTGTATTTCCTGTATCGGAGACACCCGTAAAATGACACTCTGCTAACCACTTAGCATGCTAACAGCTAAACATGTGAGAGTTCAACGGGAATTGATGCTACCTAAGCTAACAATTCGCTAGCTAGAACTAGCTCGGTAAAAAAGAAACTGGTATGTTGCTTTAATTTTATTCATAATACTTACCACCACGAGGCATTATTAAAAGTGAGGTTTATACAGACAAAGTCCACTACAATGTCGCGGAATAATAAGACAGCTCACGGGTAAAGCCGGAGATTTAAAGTCCTGGAAGAAAAGGCTAGAAACTACTTCGTCTCTCCCGCTGCTGAAAGCACGAACATCGGCAGACGCCTGCATTCACTCACCGCAAGGTGCGCATGCGCATTTACGAGCGTTAGCCCAATCACTGCAGTGCGTATTTGAGTGTCATGTGAATCCACCAATAACATACAGACACTAAAACTAATTCATAAAAGACCATACTTTGATCACCAGGAATACGTTTAGACTTTTATTACAGGACAATATATTATGTACAGATGTATTGTGGGAAATATACATGACAATATATGTTAAAAAAGGCAGAATTACTGCTCATACACTGTGAAGTGCTGAAGGATACGTCAAAAACTGAACTGAGCCTTCTTTTGTACTAAACTTGTTTGTATCTTTTCTTTTTCTGTTACAATATAACAACACATTTAATTTGAAAGGAGATTAAAGTAATTTTCCAAAAACAAAACAATAAGACAAGGAATAAAACTGCTTTCTTACAATAAAATCCCAAACTTAATTCCACTGAGGCATAAAGGTATATGCATTGCATGACAGTACTGGTAACATTACTCTTTATTATCCAAATTAGGGATCCAGCAGTAGAGAATATCATATTTTTTTCCATGGTATAAAGTCCATACCTTACACTGACATTACATCCAAATGTAGTCCTGTAGAGGCATGTTATTGCTCCTATCTTGTCAAGCTGTAGGAAAAGCCAAAATAGTAAACAAAGCCTTCCTCTGTCATTTTAGACAATTTCTGTTTTATTCTTAAATTGTTACAATTCAAAAAAGTATTGATTCAATAAGTGACTGAGGTAATTTTTGAAAAACTATATGATAAAACAAGAAAACAAATGTTTCTTGCAATCAAGTTTACATTTAATCTACAAAAAGAATACATCAAATACAAAAGATTACAAAGGCGAATGCCAGCTTTTACATGCCAGACATATGTACAATGTGTAGAAAACTGGCTGTGAATTGAACAAAGACATTCACAGTCGACTCAGATTTATGCTTTAACGAATGTAGGAAAGAATAAATACAGGGAATCACGAAATCTGATTAGCTAAAACCTACAACACAAGAGTCCTTATTGTGAGAAAAATTATGAGCTCTTTTTGTTTTGTTTTTTTTTAATCCTGTGACCTTTTTTTTTTTTACAACCACAGAGTTTAAATGATCTGTAAATACAAAAATAGCTCATTCCATTTTAAGAACATTTATTATAATGGAAGCATCAGATTGGTCATTTTTTCCTTCGATGTTGAGTCTTGATATCTTCCACTTCTTTCTCCATGAGATGGTACTCTACTGTGGTTTCAGTCAGCTTGAATGAAGAGACGAAATATTATTTAACTGCTTTGGTAACAAAGCAAACCAAATTCTACACCCATATTATTATGATATGTTATATACATATAGATAATGAATGGATGAATGGAGTGCAAAAACACAAGGACAGCTGCTCAGGTCTCACCATGTCGAGGAGAAGTTCAATCTTCAGTTTTAAGAGGTTGTTCTCCTCCTCCAGCTGGACATTTCTTTTCTTAAGCCGCTGCAACTCCCTACCGGACGCATTTCCACCAGATTCTGGTTCACAAACCAAGAAGAAAAAAGTGCTAAATTGGCCAATCAGACACAGATGACAATCCAGCAGATATGACAACACACACAACTGCACATGTTTGTATTTAGGAATATTAAAGTCATTACCTGTTATCCACTGTCCGTCATCAAATTTCCAGCTCTGACCTCCGATGTTCATCATAGGAGGTCCATACTCAAGACCCAGCTCTATTTCTCTTGTTGAACGATCCAACTATGAAAGATGAAAAGGTAAAAAGAACAGTCTGATTGTGCACTCAATTAATGTTAGCTCACAGGATGTTACGCTGCACAATTTAGCATTTCCCAAAACATGACCTAATTTTTTTTTATTTGTTGAGCACAGTACAGAACAGAAACAAGTATGAGGTGTGTCAGAAAATTTCCAGGACTGGTGTCACAAAAACTATATTTCAAACCCAAACTACAAGTTTTCCCCTTCAGATGATCGACCAGCACGTCTACAAAGAGATCTTGCGGCATTTGCTTCGTTCAGTGCACGAGAAGAGGCGAGAGTTGTGGCAGGACAAGTCGCGGCTGCTTCACCATGACAACGTGCCTGCTCACATTGCCCTGAGCATCTAACAGTTCCTGGCTGAGAAGAACATCGCCGTGCTGGAGCAACCTCCCTACTCACCTGACATGGCTCTGTGTGATTTGTTCCTCTTCCCCAAGCTCAAGGGGGTCATCAAGGGGACCCGTTTTGAAGACATGGACGACATCAAGATGGCTGTGACGACCTAGCTGCAGAGGATCCTGGAAGAATCCTTCCAGGAGTGCATGGCGGTGTGGCAGAGAAGGCTGGGAAAGTGTGTTAGACTCCAGGGGGATTACTTGGAAGGGGAAAACTTGTAGTTGGTAGTTTGGGTTTGAAATATTTCTTTTGTGACACCAGTCTTGAAACTTTTCTGACACACCTCGTACACTCCTATCTAATGTCACTTAAATATCAAATAACTAAAGACTAACACATTAGACATACTTTATTAACAACACAGGCCCTCAGTAATAACTTAATGCAGCATAGGACAGTACCCCTTCTACATTTAAGCCTTTTATTTTTTCAATAGTTCAGCTTTATTTGTGATGACGGACTCAATATACCTCAGCATGGATGATATCACATTTCTGGAGAAATGTTCTGCAATTCTTCAGAGACTATATTTTTGAGCTGGTCATTGCCATCGTGGTTCATAGTGCTGTTTACTTTTTTTCTTTATTAGAAACCCTTGAAACTCTAAGATTTAGATTATTATTATGCTGGAATATTCCTCTCCTGCCGAGCTTCTGCAGACTGAGAATCATAGATAGATAGATAGATAGATAGATAGATACTTTATTTATCCTATTAGGGAAATTCAATGTTCATCACACTGTCTGTGTGTCACACAGACACTGTCTTGCACAAAAATCCAGATTTCCCTTGATAACCCAAATGTACAGTTTGAAACACTTGATCCATTGCTTTTCTGAGCTACACTGCGCAAGTAGTGCTCTATCTGTGGCATCGTTTCAGGAGGATGACCACTGCAGATTTGATTAGTGGCACTGTGCTTCATTCTATACCTCCTAAATACTGCTGCAACTGTATTTGCATTAATTCTTGGACGGTCGTCCTGCGCCTTTTTCCAACTCTATCTTATTTGTTCTATGAGGCCTGTATTTTCAAAGTTCTGTTTTTTTGGTTGTTCGTGAGAGGAAATACTCCTATAAAGGCTTACAATTTAAAATCTTTTAACATTTATATATATTTGGCTTTATTTTCTCTTACACATCAGTGTACTTCTGTATAACGAGGTCTTTGATACTTTCCGTGTATTTTTGCTACCAAATAAAAGTGAGCTTCGTAACTCACCGTGTGAAGGCTGGACAGAGATGCAGATTTGCGAGGAGGCGTCTTCTTCGGACTGAATGTGTTTCCAAAGAGCGGCATCTTCAGTGATTTCTTAAGCTCCTGCGTTGGAGATAGCGCAACAATGGTAAATGGCATTTTTTTTAAACAACGCTGGCTATCTATCAGGCAGCTACAGTCTATGTTTATCGTTGCTAACAGTACATTACCGAGCTAATGCTAAATGGCTAACACCCGCTAGCTGTGTTAATTACCTGACATTTAATTGAAACTGTCGACTGCCTCTCAGATGGGTTAGTAGTTGTTGTGTCACTGAAAATACAGAGCTATATATTTACCTCCATACAGTCTATTTATTTAAATTCTTATCGTGGTGGTTGAAGCTCTTTTCTCTCCAAACATGCTTGTTACTGCGCATGTGTGAAACTTCCATTCGTCCAAAATGGACAAATGTATCATATTGCATGGCCGTAGTCCGAACTAGTTGAGAACAAAAACCAATGTTAACAAGTTAAATACATTTTTAAAAAAGTGCACCAGCGACCCAATTCTCTATTTGATGCACTGTTTGCAGTTTTTTTATAAATTGCTCACATTAGGCCGACATAAATACCCCTGTTTTGGAATGATAATGGAACCGTCGACGAAACGCACCGCATCACCATGGTGATCTCTCTAAGCATTACAGTATTAGCTGTGAACAATTATTTATTCGGATAGGCTAAGGAGAAAATATTTGTAGAACTTGCTTTTGAAACGGTCAAAATTAAAAGTGTAATTCAAACTACATTACACAAAGGAAATGACAGTTTTCATTGTAACTTTTTAGCAATGCGGTTATAAAAATCACTGACTCCGCCCCTTTGACAGACAGCCCCAGTGGCCTAATGGATAAGGCACTGGCCTCCTAAGCCAGGGATTGTGGGTTCGAGTCCCATCTGGGGTGGTTACTTTTGCGTTTGAGAAAACAAGTTGACGCGTGCATTCTGATGATACATGAAACCTCCGAAGAATCTTTGAGGCATCAGAATAATAGAATCGTAGAAGCTGTTCGTCGCTTTTAATGCGAGCAACCACAATAAAAACATACATCTACTGAAATACATGAAAGACAGACAGTCGCAGGACTTCATCAGCTGACATGGAGAAACAGAGCGTCAACCTGTGCGTACTGCTGAGCACCTTGGCTGTAGCAGTGCAATCCGTGGATGTGTTGAGGAGTGTCAAGGTGCAAACTTACCGTGAGTAACGTTACTGTGGTGTGTCTGGATTCATCCAGGTCAGCTGAACCCGCTGATAAAGAAAAGACGCATCTTTAACTTACATGAAATTATTTCATGGCGGACACAGGTCATGATATCATCTGTATGTACGTGTTTTAGTTTTTTATAAATTACAATTTAGTTTGCTCTATTTTCTTTTATTTTAAACAGATATTTGTGTTTGGTCTGTATGGCCTATATTGTTCTACTTTAAATGTAACAAAATATATATTGCAAATAGTTAAATTGATTTGTGACGATATGATAGCTTTGAGTGGCTACCCTTGTTTTTATCTGAATTGCAACACATGCTTTTAAAAAATGTCTTATCCTTCTTTGCATGTCCTATGCTACTGTAGAGTTTACTGTTCTGAACCAAAAAGCCATCTTCCTCTTATGTGAAAACCTATTTGGCACTAAAACACATTCAGATTTTGATTCTAGTTTCTCAGATTTTCTTTTTTTGAAAGATGGCACATCATGATTAGAATATTTACCTCGAATTACAACATCAATATTTTACATATTCATGTAATGATTATTTTTTTTAGACAGTTTTGTGTTCCTTTATGTCAATTAACGATGTCAACTAATGTTAATTGGTAGCAAAACTGGTATTCAAGTTTTTATATGTGCAACTTTACCCATCTAATGAACCTGATTTCTTTTTAAATGCTAAATTATATTTGTGTATTCAAGGAGCTGCACTAATCAGTAACACCCCTGTGCTCCTCTATAAATATTAATATTAACTAGACGAAAACCAGTTGAGCAAGACATAAGAAAATGTACAAATGCTGCATTTTTCCAAGAGTTAATTCCATTAGTGTCATGACATTATCTTACATAATGACTGTTATCTAACCTCAACCCTGTAACCCTGCCCATCCTCCGACAATGGTAGAGCCCCAAGAGGCCACCGTGCACTGGGATGCTGCCCAGAAAAGTGTGATCCTGAAGGAGGGGGTGATGGAGACCGAGGGGGGAGCCTACGGTTACTTCAATGACTCTCTGCTCCTCTCTGGATGGGGCGTCCTGGAGATCAGTGCAGGTTATGGTGGAATCGCACAGGAAGATGAGACCACCTTCTTCCTGGCTGGTTATCTGGAGGGTTTCCTCACTGCTGGGTGAGTGGCGCAGGTCTTCTATTAAAAATGAAAATAACACTGAAGCCTTGGAGCCCACAGAGTTGGTCAGTTGTTCCACTCAAGTTTCTGTTTTAGATCTTAGGACAGCAGAAAATGCACCCATCAGCCACTTAAGGAAGACAAGTAGACGTTAGTAATAATTCAAATATCCAATCAGCCAATTGTGTGGCAGCAAATACAGTTAAGGATCTTCAATGAATGCTTCCATTAAATATAAGAACCAAACCTGGAGTGCTGAGGACTGAAAAACATAGCTCAGTTTGGTTTTCCGCTGAAACCCACAGATGGTAGTCAGAATTTAGCATCAGCAGCATGAATCCATCAATGCAGTCTGTCTTGTGTCACCAGTCCAGGCTGCTGTTGTTGATGTAACAGTGTGGGAAATGTTTTCTTGGCACATTTTGGCCTCTTAAAACCAACCAATCATCCTTTATCCTTCCTCGCACGGCTGCTTCAAACACGACAATGCACCTTGTCATCTCATAATGGTTTCATGAGCCTGACAGTGGACGTTAGTGGCCTTCCCAGTCATCAGATCTGACTCCGGCAGAACCCCCTTTGGGACGTGGTTGAACAAGAGATTGGCAGCGTGAATATGCAGCTGACAAATCTGCAGAAATGATGGGATGAAGTCATGTCAGCATGGATCAGAATCTCAAAGGAATGTTTGGAACATTTTGTGAATTGATGCCACCATGAACTGAAGCTGTTTTGAGAGCAATGAGAGGCCTTATTCAGTAAGATGCTGCATTCAGTGGCAACTGGGAACTTGGAATTTCTGAACTTTGACTATTTTTAAAAATGTTATTCCCTACAAAAACAGCCTAAACTAGCGCTACTTAAGTACAGTTTCTTAACTTTTAATGAGTTTATAAATGTCTAAAGCTTTCGGCAGCATCGCTTTTACACCTTTTTTAGTCTTTTGTTTTTTCAAGAAAGGAAGCACATGTCTGTTAAAGAGGGTTTCTATTGATTGTAGAATAGAAACAAAGCAGACCTGGAAGCAGCCATGTTGCTTTCAGACTTTGTGCATCAAAATGTTGAAATGATGTGTCTCCAGGTTGGACATCCGAGGTGCATCAAATGCAGGATTAGTGTTGTGTTCCGGATAACATTTTCACATATGACAGTATGAAAATCAAAGGTAAAATAATAATAATAATAATAATAATAATAATAATAATAATAATAATAAAAAGATTGTCTTAATGCTGTGATTGGGGCCAAAGGTGCATTTACTAAATACTGAGGAAGGAATAGTTACGCAATCACCTATTTTATATGTTTAATTGATTTATATTCTTTTGTAGAAATCTGTTTTCACATTGACAGGAAATAGTCTTTTTTGTAAATTCTTATCAAAAAAGCAAAATTAAATTGACCACGATTCAGTGATGAAAAGCAAAAAAGGAAAAAACCTCCAGGAGGAAGAATGCTTCTTATAGACACCATAAATGCAAAGAAATGTTAACTGTTGTAGTTTGTTTACAGATGACGGCTGCACTTGCTTTTATTTATCCATTTTTGTTTTTTTGTTTGTTTTTAAAGCCGAAATATATTTTCTGAAAATTGGTTGATATCACTGACTTGGATTAAGGAATTGGATTATACTACAATAGGATTTCTGATATCACTAGCTGTAACTGGAACATGTGGGCTATATTTACTTGGGGAAAAGGAAATGAAGTGGTTTAATCCGCCTGTTCTTACTCTTATCCTCTGCAGACAGATGTTCAGCCATTACTCCAACATGTACCCTCAGCTGATAAAGGACGAGAAGGTTCTGAATCCCTTGAAAAACTTTCTGAGGTACAGTCTCAACTATATAAAAGCACATTCATAGCTTAAGATAAGAGTAATCCCATAAACGTTCAGAGAAATTGGTCTGATATTCGCTTTACTTTTAATATACCAGCAGTTTCTTTCAGAAAACTGTAAAAGGAAGGAGAGAATTTCATCATTCTGAGTCTCTTTGTGGAGAGTTTTTATGCCCCACTGTGGTCCACATGTCTTTTTGTCATTCATTGGTTTAAATGCTGACTATTTGCACTCGTATGTCTATTTTTATTTCACATTCATGCTTCATAACTGTCAAACTTGAGTCTTTAAAAAAAGTACAGGTGATATTTGGGCATGCTGTGAGTGGTGTGGTTCTGAATTCAGATGCAGGGTCAAATCAGGTTTAGGAAGCAAATGAAGCACTTAGCTTTAGAAAAAAAAAGTGTTCCTCTGCTCTGTGGATGATCTGCAGCAAACAGGACCAGTGGGCCAGAGAGCAGGTCAGACTGAGGAGAAACAGCGACCCCTTGTGGAAACATCTGGGACTGATCCTGGCCCAGCTGGACGGACTCCACGCCGGAGCTGCACAGTGGGCCAAAAGCAAACACAGAGAGGTAGGTGTGTGTGTGTGTGTGTGTGTGTGTGTGTGTGTGAGTTGTCTCAGTATCGTTTCATTTATCTCTGCCGCTTGCTCTCTCCTTCCTGCCCCAGCCTCTGTCAGCATTCTCTGTCCAGCTCCTCAATGGTGTCGGTGACCTCCTGGACCTGGTCCCGGCTCTGACACCTCGCTCCAACTCCTCTGCGGGGGCCGGCGCCTTCAGGATGCCAGGAATGGGCCACTGCACCGCTCTCATAAAGGTTAGGCCAAGCTCATTTGGCACGAGCTGTGAGGGAGCACTTGGGAAACCTCAACATGGGCCTAATTGCTTTTATTGTTGGCCTCTGAGTGTGTGAGCGTGTGTGTGTGTGTTTTATTCCTCTAAATGAGTCAATGAGTGTAAAAGGCCAGTGCGAGGGGGGATATTTCCTCTTCCACCTACGCCCATTCAGGGAACAAAGACAAAGTGCAAGTAGAGGTGAGGACACTGAGTGATGCAGTGCAATCAGAAAACTTGCATTACTACACTGTAATGAATTTTCATGATTCTTGCTTTTGTTGCCTCCAGGTTATGCATTTTTTAAACCATTTCTGCCACAATTCAGGGATGAGTCATTTTCTTTTACACAGCATAGATTCCATAACAAGTGAGAAAAACACAATCACTGCTAATATCACACAAAACCAGCACACCTCTCTCATTATAATCATTTTTTCCCTGTTGTCTGTGTCTAAGGTGCTGCCAGGCTTTGAGAACCTGCTGCTGGGCCACTCTAGCTGGTATACTTACGCAGCCACCATGCGTATCTACAAACACTGGGACTTCAGGGTGTCTGATGCTCACGCCGCCACCGGAAAGATGTCGTTTAGCAGCTACCCCGGTACACACACTCATACACTCAGGCAAAGTGAATGGCACGAGCAAGGTGAGATTTACAGCTCGCAGATGGAGCGGCGGTTTTCGAAGTCCAAAGTTTGTCAACCCACAGTGCAGCTTTCTTGTAAAATCCCTGAGCTGAGGTGAGCTGCTTGTCCTTAATCCACATTTTCATCAGGGAAAACATAAACACTGACATCCAGGACTTAACCCAAATCCTCAATGAACATTCTCCACTCAACGTAATTCTTCAGCTAAGCACACAGCTTAGTCAGTAATAAGGAAGCATTGAACCCAGAGAGTGTTCACCCAAACAGAGCTGTGATGAAATGTGTTCTCTCACTGTCAAGTCAGAGGAGGCTGAGTAATTTCGAGGCTAAAGATTTGTCAAGTGGTCTGGGCTGTAAAAATCCTCTTATAGGCTCCATTGCTATCAGAACACAAGTGGTTTTAAGGTACTATTTTTAGAGGCCAGCAGGCCAAAGATATCGCTTCACTATATTAAAATGAAGAGGTGAAAAACACTGGTGCCACTGAGGCGATGTGAAGCCCCTGCATCCTTCTTAAGCTGCTTTCTCTCTGACGATCACAGACACAATGCAGTGTTCAACTAATACGTTATGTAGAAAAAGTTGTGGTGGTGGTGGTGGTGCTCTTGTTCCTGTGATTTTTATTAATAGCATCTCCAGCAAAACTAGTAGTAGAAGCAGTAGTACTTGTAGTGATGGTATTAACTCTCTGCAACCTGTTTGAAAGATATCTTAGAACAAAATTATACCATCTGTCAGAGCCAGAGACAAAAACAGAAATAATCATTGGATTTTCATCTATCTGTCGATCCTTAAACTACTCATCTGTGTTGTTCCATTCCTTCTGACAACTTCACCAAATCTAAGTTTAAAATCGTAATATTTCATCAAAATCACTTCATTCTATGTGTCCCATTGAAAATTCTCCAAAAGTAAAACAGTAACCAGGTTATGCAAAATGCAAAACATTCTGCACCTCTCGGCACAACCAGGAAGTCATCAGTGTCTCAGCTGAGACCAACAAGCACATGGAAAAAAATCAGGGACTTTTTGGCTGAATACAAGCTGTGTTTACACAGAACAGATGGTGGATGTCTATGGAAGCAAATATAAAATTGCAAGTAGCAAAATAGGGCTGCTCAGTGGTTAGCACCGTCGCCTCGAAGCAAGAAGGTCGCCGGTTCGCGTCCCGGTGGGGGCACTGGGATCTTTCTGCGTGGAGTTTGCATGTTCTCCCCGTGCAGTGTGGGTTCTCTCCGGGTTCTCCGGCTTCTCCCACACAGTCCAAAAACATGTTGAGGTTAATTGGTGATTCTAAATTGTCCGTAGGTGTGAATGTGAGTGTGCTTGGTTGTCTGTCCTGAGTGTCCCCTGCCTTCACCTGAGTCAGCTGGGATAGACTCCAGCCCCCCACGACCCTAATGCGGTGTATAGATAATGGATGGATGGAAGTAGTAAAATGCTTATAGTATTTAGAGTCACCTGTTTTCCCCAATACTTGTAACAAATGTGGGCTCAAAATGCTGTACATGTTGATTCCACTTTTTGTATTTTTAAGTTACTTCATTATAATTGTGTCTTACTGCACAGAAGAATTTTGCATAGAGGTGCAGGAATTTATATTGTTTTTAAAAATGAGGGAGACTGTTAGGGACTCAGATGGTTGAAATGAAAAATATTCCTTCTACCTGCAAGTAGTGATAGTAATGTCAGCTGGTTTAACACTGAGAGTACTATGAATAATGGCGATGACAATAATAATGGTAGAAATAACAACAGTAGCACTAACAGTGTAAATAATGTAGCAGTACTATCCAGGCCTACTGGAAAGATATGACAGTGATATGAACTGCTTGGATTCATTAAGCAGGAGTATAAATGTCCTCTCAGGACATTTTGAGCTTCAAATACTCAATTTTCTGCATTTTGTGAAATGTTTATGTAAAAATTTGTTCATTTTCTGCATCGGTTTAAACTTAAAATACATTTATTTGTGGACATATTTATGTAAAAATTCAGACACAATAAATAAACATTGTGGCAGTTCTTTCATTGTATAGGGACATGTAGCCTATGACTGATCATATCTAACATTCATCAACAGAGCAAATAAGCACATTTACCAAGATGTCGGACCGTCCTTTTACTAGCAGCGATGGAAGTGTTTAGATAACACTGACATCTTTCCATATATTATTAACGTGATACGGTAAACTAATTTCTGTACAGCTGCATGGTAAACAGATCAGCATGCGTTTGTATTTGTGTCTCTGGAATGTAAGTTCAATATTCACGCTCTTCTTCACCACTAAACCATGAAGGACACCCAGTATCTGATCCTGTATGGACTGAATGACGAACCTTGTTCATCAGATAGTCCCTAACGCTGTCTGGCTGCCGCTCGGCCCAGATAATGTGCACTGGATCTTTGGAGCTTTTATGCTGAAAACAGCCTCCAGCTGCAGCTGAGACCAACACTGTTAGAGCGATGACCGAGAACCTGCACTAAAGCTGCTGACCAGAAAAATGAAAACAATGAGCTGAAAGATGCATTTTTTAAAATTTATTTATTTATGTTACTGAAGCAAAAAGACAAAAATGTCACTATCAAAATATACCCAAAGTACAAAAAATAAAAGTAATCCTAATATGGTTATGTTGTATTATTGATGACTTTATCTACTGTTGGGCAGTTTGCAAATTTACCCCAAGGGATCAATAAAGTTTTATCTTAAGCTATAATATAGCATTATATTCTGTTAATTACTGCTTATTATTAATCTGAATATGAAAGCAACTGAGTTTAAGTGCAGCACTTAAATACAGTGTACTTAGTTACTTTACACCACTGATCACTGTGAGCAAACCCTTTCACAGACACATACTTATTTGGTTTCTTGTTATTATAAACATATAGATTTTTAGCAAAAGTTGAAGAGATCAACCATTAAAGTAAAAGTCCAACATGTTGATAAAGTAAAAGCAGATGAATATTAGCAGTAAATATGTGCAGATATCAAAGTAAAAGCTTCTTTTTGAGTGTTTTATTTTGCTGTATATATTAATGGGTTCAGATTATTGAAGCATTAACATGTAATTAGTAGTTGTTGTTGTTGTTGTTGTTGTTTTTTACCCATTTAGGGTGGAGCAGTTTTTAATTACTTTATATACTGTTAAACAGTTGCATTTACAGAAACATCATATTTTATTAGATAAGATTGGAATGACAGATATCAATCTGTCCCAGTGATCAGTAATTACAGCAAACTGAAGAGACAAAAAATGTAAAAAGTATTAAAGAGAAAAGAAAAAAGGACCAGGAAGTTATAGACTAGTGTGCAGTCTAAACTGCAATTTTAATTCATTTAATTTTAACTCTTTTTTTTTTCTATTTTCTTGTACACTTTATCTTTTACATGTTTTTATTTTTCTTTTTTTTAGAAACTTTTTTATGGATCTGTGTGCACTGTGTTCAGCTTGTCTAAAAAATTGATTTGATTTGTTATTTTAATTACATTTTTTGTTTTCTTTCTTTCTTTTACATTTGCCTGCACTTCGACTATCCTCTGTGTATGATAGGGTGCTATTTCAATAAACTTGCCTGCTAACTAGTCATCAGGCTGTAGGTTGTAGGTGAAGATATGATCTCATCCCAATCCTGTTTACTTCTCCCAGCCTCTTTAAGTGTTTACTCTTTAGTGTTTGTCCACCTCTGACAGCCTTTTACCCCTGACCTCTCTATGACTCTTACTTCCTCCTCCTCCAGGTTTCCTCATGTCTCTGGATGACTTCTACCTTCTTGGGAGCGGCCTGCTGATGACTCAGACCTCCATCGGTGTCTTCAATTCCTCCCTGTTCGCTCAGCTCAGCCCTCACAGCCTGCTGGCCTGGCAGAGAGTCCGCCTGGCCAACAGTCTGGCACACAGCGGAGAGGAGTGGGCTCAGGTTTTCTCCAAATACAACTCAGGTGGGATCCCTCATGATCTCAGTTAGGACCGGTGGTAAAGAGGCACACTGTAAAAGATGTAAAGATGTTTTTAATTGTATTTTTTGTTTGCAGTTATTGAAAAATATATATCTGTTTTGGTAAATCAGAGATAATAATTATTGAAGTCAGAGAAAAATTGTTTCATTTAGATCTGAAAAAAACTAAATTTATGTAAACTTCTGACTTTGAAGAAAGTAACAAGTAATTCTCTTTTTAAAACAAAAATCTCTCTCTCATTATTCTGGCATTTAGCAAATAGAAATAAGTTTGGTAATCCTAACTGACCTAAAACAGGAAAATTGTAGTCTGATTTAATGTCAGACAGTGAGAAAAAAATCTTTTTTATACAGTGTATGTAAACTTCTGGTTTAGCTGTAATATCCACCATATAAAAGAATCAGTATTTTTACAAATTGTGATTAGTTTCTTTTAGCTGTATGTGTCAGTAAAATCACACATTTCTACTCTATTTAAATCAGCTAAAAAAATATCGTTATTTTACCGATATTTGCCAATATTTTAACTTTTTTTTTTTCAGTTTTTAAACATTAAAATATTCCACTGTTTCTTCTGGCACCCTTGCTGCCAGATTTTCACAATTTTTTTAAAAATGGGTTTTTGTTTGTTTGTTTTTGCAGTGCAGGCTGTTTAAAGTAAACCAAAACACTATTCATATAAATGAACAAGGACCCACCAATTCACAAAGCTGTATGCGGTTACCGTGTTGTTTTCGGGGCTTGAGAATTAATGCTGGCAATGTAAAATAATTCACAAGACAAATTTCCATAGAGATTTTGCAGACTCTCAAACAGACCATCCGTCTCGTTGCACAACGCTTGTGTGTGTTAATTGGGAAGCTGCTTTGATCTTTCACGTCACGTTGCTATGGGAGGGCAGAGGAGAGGGACGGGGTGTTCCTGAGACTGACAGTCCTCTCATCACTCAGCAGACTCTGCTGTCATGCTCACCGTTCTGCCAAACCGATTTGCAGGCCCACAGGCAGTTAACACAAGAGAGTTTACCTTTGCTTGTGTTTTGCTTTCATTTAGGCAGGGTTAGGTTAGATTCTTTTTGTCTGTGCAAGTAAGTAAGTCATGAGCCAGAAGTTTACTGTGTTTCTTCCACTAGATCCGAACCCCTCAGGGGCATGCAAGACTGTGCATGTTATCTTCCCTGTGCAAGTCATGAGCTACAAGCAACAAGAGTTCGACTGAGGATGTGACTCCTAGTATTGGCCTTTTAGTAAAACAGAATGTGCTGTGGTAATGGAATATGTCTGTTTTTTTTTTTGGTTTTTTTTTCAAAGATTATGTAGGGACTTTTTACGCCTTTGTTATGAAGATATTTATTGGAAGGGGGGAGGAGAGATGTGGGGCATGAAGCAAGGGGCTGGAATTGAGCCCAGGCTGCTGAGGTCAGGACTTATTACATGAGGCCAGGTGAGCGACTGCAGCGCCCCTAAACCACATTTGTTTTATGTTGTGTTTTGCGAAGCTGAGGGATCACCAACGTTATTGCAGTTCATCCTGAGGGGGGTCAGTGATATCTGAACCACATCTCCAAACCTTTGAGCAATCCATCCAATATTTGTTGAGACGTCACACTTTAAACCATGAACTTTTACACTTTGTTGGAACCATGTATCTAAAGAACTGTAAAAAC